TGTCTTACACTGCGCAGTTTTACAGCCAAGTAACTGTCTGTAAAAGAGACCTAATTCATACCAAGCCCCATCAGACCCGATTCCCCTCGCATATACTTGAGCCTGAGGTAAAACCCCTGAATTCAGCCCCCAAGGAGAGATTCTCCAGGGGAAGATCATCTGTCACACCACAGCACCCAGTCACACATGTTGCTCTTACACTTTGGGTTTTCCCACACAAGGAAGTGCTCAGCCTTGGTCCTACCTTTGCTGTGGCACAGAGTCCCGGTGAAGGGCTGGTCCGAAGAGCAGGAGGGCATTCTGTGTCTTTGGAGCATTGGACTTACCCTCTGAGAAAGGGACCTTTTTTGGTACCTTGCCCAGCACACCGTTACCTTTGAAACAGGCACAGGTCTGTGGTGCTGAGAAAGCTCCCTACCTCTCACAAGGAGGGACACAGAGGAGAAGTGAGATCCCGTTGTCCCGAGCGAGATCCCTCGGTCTCTTGCCGTGAGGAGGGAAGGGCTGCTCTTTAGCTGACTGCTTTAATTTGGACACCAGCCACAGAGTGAGTCCTTTCCTCTACTGTGATTATTTGTTTATTGCTCAGGATAAATAAAAGTATAGACTATAAGTTACATTTCTTATTTTAAAGCCTCATTTTCTTGACCACCAACACAAAATTGGCTCTGATGTGGGAAGGAGCAACCATGAGGCAGAAGTCACAGCCACAGTGTTTCAGGCTGCACTGCAGTATGAAAAATGAATTTCCCAAACTCCCAAGAATACAGAGAAAGAAATTTGTTTAAATATGAATTTTAAACCTTGCACCTGGTGCAGAAAACATTGAAACATGATCATTAGGCACTGAAATATGATTTTGGTGAACAGCAGGCATTCAAAACAATTTCTAATACTTGGAATATAGAAATTGCATTTTGAAGAAAACAAAATAGAGTCAACGCTTTGTTTTAAATATGATGTTTTTCTGCTAAAATTAGTTTAAATATTTCCAGGTCTTCAAAATTCATAGTGTTCATTCTTTTCAGATTTCCCCCAATACTTTCGTAACCAATCAGCATTTGAAAACTGAGTAATATTATTTCCCTTGCATTTCCTATATTTTTTCTGCTTTATTACAGGTGCTTAAAAGTAAACAAAATGAGTCTCTTCTCACAGTGGTTGTGACCCATACCATGAAGCTGAACATTTCAGAGTTGATATTGAAATGAGAACTTACATCTTTGTTAAAAAAAATAATCTGCCTCCTATGTAACTCCTTTAAAATGAGCAGAGAAGGTGCATTCACCTATTTACTACTTTGCGTGTCGCACTCAGCAGAAAGCCAGGGAGTAAATCCAGTTTACCTTCACGATAATTTGTTGTTTTGACGTGACTTTGCCCCCGGCGTTGTTTTAGTTTCTATTAAATGCAAAAGCATCGCCGTTCCCGTGATTTGCAATGATTTAAAAGTTTCTGGGGAGAATCCTCCTCGGGAACAACTGGTTTTTCCTCCTTCGGTTTATCAGACCTCTCAATTCCTGTGGCTTTGGAGGTGGCATTTTCCGGCGGACGCCGGGCTTGGTGGAATTTGGATGGGGTCACCCAGATCCCTGCCTTTCCCGGAGCTCCCCTTCGCCCGGGCCAGGAG